GCTAACCTTGCTCAATGCGACTTCTGGCGTGGAGGACAGGAAGGCGGGTGCGGAGGCGGTTATTGCTTGGAGGGAGAATCCCCCACCCTACAAGAAGCCACGACCACGTGTCATGGCAGGGAAAATGGCCGCGGATTCTGTTCGTCACCCAATGCGGAGTTCACGGACGGAAGCAAAATTTTGCGAACGGTGCTGTTCGTGACCCGAATTGGTCGTGAACAGAAGCGTTCGTGACCCGAGGTACCACTGTATCTCTAGAACTTCTCAGGGGTGGGAAGTAGAGATAGGGTGTCCAACTCTTCACTGATAAGCAGTAAGGAATTAAACACCCTGTGTAATCCTACCATTTTGGCATTCACTTAGTCCCCTCTGCTAACAGTTTTTCCACAGCCAAATCAGCTGTATGGATTTTAAGTCATTTGTTCACACATAGTGTCTTATTCATCCTGACTTATTAATGTATTCCATAAAAACGATGCTAAATATTATATTATCAAATGCAAAATGTTCTTCAGGGGATTGCTTTTCTTTCTAAAAGCTCTTTCTCAAACAGGCTTCTTAAAAGGGAATGTTGTAAGGCTGAAGAAAATGCTAACCAGTGTGTGGAAGTGATGGAAATTTATGAAACAATTCTGAAATCACGAAGCCTTGTTTTAAGAATGAACTCCTCAGATTCTTATCAGTATAAAGGCCACCTCTGTAGTTTTATGTTCTGAGTCAGGTGTGTGTGTTTAAATCATGCTTGTGCTTGTTTTATCGCATAGTGACATGGCCTTTACTTGAGAAAGAATCCATACAAGCGCTCTTTTGTTATTACTACCCCAAGGAATAATGTTTCAATTGTCCTCAACCAGACCATTCCCCTTCAAGAACCTGGTTCTCCACTACAGGTCTGAATGGAAAAGCAGGGGAAATTATATCCATACCTGACCATGGTGAATCTCTGGCAAAAGGTATTTATTGTTACAGTTATTTTTAAGACAGAGGCCTGTGGGGTCGAAATCAGCACCCCAGCCACCCTCAGTTCAGCAATGCCAGCCTTGTAATACCTTGGAGTTAAGAGACACAATGGAAAGTTACAGAGGAAACACAGAAATGAGGACCGTTTTTATCACACAGGGGACTGACAATGGCAAAACACACAAGACAACATTCACCCCAGCGGTGATTTCACCTCCTCTGCTTGCTCTTGGCTCATCACCAAATTTAGATTATTTTTCTTTCTTCATTGCCCCAGCCCACCCCCACCCCTTCTTTGACACTTCCCTACATAATCGGTATTCTTACCACCCCTCCAGTATGTGGATTCCATCTTGAGAAGGACCCATATGGGAAAAAACAACAGATCAGCTCACTGTTTGGGGGGTGTCTTCTGATCCATGCCCACCCTCTTCCCTCCCCAGATACGCACACTTCTTCTTCACAGCTTCCTCTTCCCCTTATGTCCCCCTCCCTCCCTGAAACACACGAGATGGCTTCTCCCATCAATTCTTTACATTCACAAACAACGAAAGCAGAGGACAATCCCAGTTCCTCAGTCAACACTTTGCATTAAGGCAGCCTCCACCATGTACTGCCGCCTGCCGCCATCTTTCCTTGGAGCCGTCAGTCCAAATTTTTATCTGCCTGAGTGCCTCTTTACCTTGAGGCCTCTTCCTTTAATTCCTTGTTCTTCCGGACCTCCTCAGCATGCTTATCCTGAAAAAGAAAAAAAGAAAAAAAAAGACACCACAAGATGTGGCTACAGTCACCAATTTAGTGGGATAGGCAAATTCATGTATAGGACTCCCATGGCTTCCATTAATCTCCTTGAGGAGCAGCATATCTCTGAATATAAATAGCCGTGGAAGAAAAATGGGGAAAAGGGCCATTGCTATCATGTTCCTAGAGGCATCTGGTTGGCTACCATGGAAACACAATTACTGGATTCACACAATACGCTCCTGGTGGGCCTTCAGATGCTGCTAGCACTGTGAACTGAAGATAATAATCCTGAAAAAGGAGTGATCCTGTTCTTCTTCACACACACACTGTAGTCTACTATACATGTCTTGATCTAATCTAACCCACACCTTCCATCTCCATTCTTACTACCATTCCCCCTCACCTTCTCCTGCAGACGTTCCAACATAGCAGCTAAATGTGCCTCTCGGTTCTCCTTATTGGACTCCATTTTCTGCATCAGCCTCTCCTTGGCAGTTTTGATGAAATTGTTGTTCTCCTCAATGGCTTTCTGGATGACCTCCCGTTCATGTTCCCGTTTCCCTGCCAGATGCTTCAGGAGTTCTGCTTCCTGGTACTATACCCATAGAATAATATGAGAATGATATACACATATTGGGTCTATTGGATGAAGGACAATGAAGCAGACCCTAGGTTAGATACTGTAGGCTCCAAGTAAAACTCCACTAATAAAATCTGTGCTTTACTGGGCTATTTTGCAGTGACAACAAGATTGGATCTCTTGACTTGATAAAGGGAGAAATCCCAACATCTAAACAGCTGATAATGCAAAGACATTCTGTTAAAAAGTCAAAAATCAGTACTGGGATTCAGTAATCTGCTTGTTGTGTATATCTAAGCTAGCCAATTTCTGCACTCTTGCCTCCTGCCCTGACCCAAAAACAAAGTTGGGGACGTTTATTGCTGAGAGCTTTGCAACAATAGATGAATGTGCTCAAACACAGCTGGAATATGTCATGCCAACTCCAGACAAAAGTATCAATATATGTGTGTGAGGCATGCATTATTCCCTTTAGAAGAAGGTTTCTATTTTACCTGGTTTAAAATTTGATAAAACTTCTGCATAAAACTATTCCAGGGGATAGCTGACATTCCCAAATGTTGCATTGCTATGTCCTTCTTTTCCCTTTCTAAAACCCTAAGTGTTGTCCAACCTGGCCATGCTGACTGGGGATGATGTGAACTGTAGTCCAACAGTAACTAGTTAAATTGATGAATGGCTGAGAAGGTAGATTTCCAACTGTCCTACAGGGATTTTGACATTTGTCAATCTCAGTTTTCCAACCACATTTCTTTCTGTACCCTGTGTTCTTCAAGATACATTTGGGAAGTCTTCTTTCACCTGCTGAGTGCTTAAATATAGCAGGAAAACCTGTTCACTTTCACATATGCAGGTTTTTTACATCCCTGCCTTCTTCTCTCTGGTTGAATTAACACTGTTGGGACAAAGTCTTTCAATTTAACTTATGCCAGTTTCCCTTGCAGGTCAGGATCTCACTTCCCTCTATGCAACCTAAGAGCTCCTTTATAGAGTACTATTAACCACCAGCTCAGGCAGGCTAGCCTGGCTTTTAATTTGTAAAATGTCAAACAATTGTAATGAGATGGATAAGATATGACCTTTCAAAGATCACGTAGTACAAAAACAAGTAACTTATTGACAGCAGCACAGCATTTTTTAAAATAGTGTCCATGGCCTGGTGAGGTGATAACATTTAAGGGGGGTGGGGGCTGGATTCCTTCCCCTGCTTAAAAAAAAGGGGGCAGAATGCCTGGAGTTTTGTTTTCCACTTCTTTCAGTACAACAAGCCTATGTGAAAGCTGGACCTGAAAGTACCTCATTTCTTTCAGCTCCTACTAGAAATCAGTGGCAAGCCTTGGCACCCAATTTGGGAGTGACAAAATATCTATATGTTTTATCTGTACACTGCTTCCCATTTAAAAAAAAAACAAACTCAAGGTGGTTTACAATACAATTCAAACAGTGAGTTAAAAATTAACAGAAACATACTTTAAAACACTATCATGGATCTCCACAAGGAATGGTCAAAAAAGTTAAGATGGCAGCCATGATGTGCTATCTAAGCCCCAGCTGCAATGCATATAAAACAGGCAGGGCTTTCATTGCACCATCATGGCTGCCATCTTGATTTTTTTAACCACACCTTGTGGACGTTCCTGAACACTATATAAAATATACAAAATAAAATAAACACTAAGAGAATAATGTAGAGGGCAAAAGAGGAGTAAAAAAATTAAAATATCATGAGTAAAAGCCTGGGAGAAGAATAATGCCTTTGCCTGGTGCCAAAAATACAATGAAGATGGCACCAAGGTTACCTCACTGAGCAAGCCATTGCGAAGTTGGTGAGGCGGTTAGGTTTGGGCCTATATTTGATTCTTCTCTGAAGTCCAAGCTTTAGGTTGTCATGAGCCTACAGTTCCTTTACATATTTATATTCTTACCTTACATAGTTGAAACTTTTCCTGTTATTTTCCTATTCGTTACAAATTTTATGCCTCTCATGTAATCTCATAAAATTCTTCAAGTAAACTTCAGGTAAAGATACTTGAAGATATTCTTAGCTTGTGTCTTGCCAAATAAAGCTACTGGCAAAGGAGAGGTTTATTTATTGCTATCTGAGTGTGTTGTCCACATGAATGAATCTGTTAGACGAGCCCACAGAGGGGTTCATCAAAGACACCCAGATATGAACATCATAATCTATTTTAGCAATTTCTCCTTTGTGCAAAGATTGATTGTTCTACTCAGTTTTCAGGAGGTTGACTTGATCACCTCTGGTTTCATGCATGATGACCCAAGCAAAAGGAGATCTAAGGCCTGCCTTTACAGTGGTACATTGCACTTTGCATAATCCTTGTCAAGAGTGGGGTTATCAAGAATGCCTGTCAAGTCCTGTATAATTATTGACAGTAAACTGAGATGTCTCCCCTGACTTAACAAAGCTACCATAACAAAGAGTCTCTCTGGGACAACCACTTGCCAAACTTTAAATGTGTTCACCTGGGTGTGATTGCCAGCTTAAGGAACCCAGGGCTCTAACAAAATGTTTCCCAAAGTATTTCCAAGTGGAAAGGAGGGGACAAAGATCACTTCCTAAGATCAAGGTAACAGCAAAGGGGTTGACTCAGGATCTAAGAGAAAAGCTGAGCCAGGAAAATGGAATTCATTCACCTCTTTCCCCCACAGTTGTAGTCCAGAAGCCATTCATGACTACCTATCAAGGTGAGGCAGGGGCAAGGATAAATGAATGATGCCTCCTAATGGATTATTAATAATTCACAAGCTGGAAAGCATCACCAATTTCCTTCTTCCTGAGATCAGCCCATCCCCTGGAACTGCTTTGTAAGCAATTGGAGAGTTTGCTAACATTTTGCTTGCAATTCCTATCCCTCTCATGGTTCACAGGTAGAGCTAAAAATGGTTCCCTTCCATATGCTCTAGCTTATATTAAGCACGTGCCTAAGACTTCGATATTATGCATATCTACAGGACTGCATTATACTGCATTTTATCAACAAGTGGAATTCATTTCCATTACAATTGACTAGTTGTGCCCATGAATTGCACTCATTTGAATCAGGCATGATTTTCTTCTATTATTTTATTATTTTAGTAAATATTATTTACCAAATGGATTGGATTAGTTAATAAAACAAGGCAAGTGTGTTTTAAGAGCATATTTTCCAATTCAATGGGGAGATGTAGCCAAAAGGTCATCTTTGAGAGCCAGTGTGTTGTAGAGGTTAAGGTGCTGGACTAGGGGCAGAGAAACCTAGAGTCAAGTGCATAGTCAGCCACAGACCTCACTGGATCCCTTTGGGCCAATCATTCTGTCTTAGCCCAGCCTACCACAAGGTCATTTTTCAATGGTTAAGTTAAACAAATGCTTAAATATCTCAACTGTAATAAAATATTTATATGAATAATATTAATTAAAAGTATTTGAAAGACACTGAGCTTGTACAATATACTTAATCTGGTTTGCACAATATATTGAACCATAAACTAACCAAAGAGGCTGGGTTTGCACAACACTTTATGCCAAAAAAAGTCTCCTAACCAAGATTAAACTTAATCAATTTTTGCACATTGTATAAATGGAACTACTAAGTCAACTGACCCAACTAGTACATTGAGTGAACTCAATCAGGCAGTGCAAAATTGTCAGTCTTTCAAATTTTTGGTAATGATTGGTCAGAACACAGGAAATTAGCAATTATATATTTTCTTCTAGAGCAGGCTTCCCCAACTTGGGCACCTTCCAGTTGTTGGATTTAGTTCCATAATTCCCAGCCAGCATGGCCCTGTGGAGAATTTTAGGAGTCGATGCCCATAATTCTGGAGGCATCCAAAAAGGGCAGATTTTTTTCCTAGAGTAATTTGATGGAACCCTAGGAACCATCTTTGTTTTTCTAGAGCAACGGTTCGCACTTTTCCTGACATTGAAAAGAGTGGGCAGATTCCCTATCTGTCTATTCACGTGATCAAATTATCCTCTGTAATGTCTAGCCTATTTACCAAGCTTGGTGCTATTGGAGAAGGCAAAGACTAATGCCCTGGTCAGCAGAATGACCGGAAGAATCTTCAAAACAGGATGGTTAGCTCAATGCATTTTGAATGAGTGAATAATATACTTTACTATCTAAAGAGGTGGCTCTTTATTACCATAAAGTCCATTAAATTTCCTAACCATACTGTAGCTACTGTGCAGATACAAACTATTTCTCACCTTACGTCGCTCCTCAGCAGCTTCTAGCTTCTTCTGGATCTCCTCCAATGAAGGGTCACGCCGTCGAGGCAGGGAGGCATTGAATTCAGGGATTCCATCAAAAGACGGTGGCTTAAGGATAACCTCAAAGGATTGCCCTGAGGTGCGCTTGTTGAGCTCAATGACTTCCATGTCAGATATGACACACCAGGTCAGGTCTACAGTGTCTACTAAAAAAAGAAAGGGAGGGAAAAGCTGAGAAATAAGTATGCCAAGATAAACTAGCAATGGGCAGAATTTCTTTAGGCCACAGAGAAAATCACTAGAAATCCATATCTCACAGAGAAATTTGAAGTTTCTTATCTGAAGTTTCCTCTTAAAATTGAGGTCCTTCAGTACAGACATGATGGGGTTCATTAGCAAAGCAGTAGGCATGGAAGGAAAGGGTTTCCTGAAAGAAGTGTACCAAGTTTAGAAATCATTGTATGAAAAGTCCCTTCCTCAGGTGCCTACTCTTCCCTCATGCTGGCAAATGAAGCTGAGCTGAGAGAAGAAGGAAGCAATAATACCTTTCTTCTCAAAGGCCAAGTTCATACAATATGCTTAATTGGTTCAGCTAGAAACCTAGCAGCTGCACTGGAACAAGACCTGAAACTCAGCTTAGCTTAGCTTGTTTTGATTTTTCTGCAAACCCAACCTGCTTCAATAGTTTATTATTCCATGTACTATGAGAGTCCAGAAAATTGGCTTAATTCACTAAGCCAACTAAGCACATTTTGTGAATCCAATTACAGAATCCTAGAGCGTCAACTATATATCTCATTTTGCATTATCTATCTTTTTGTTGTTCAATCGTTAAGTCGTGTCCGACTCTTCATGACCCCATGAACCATATTGCGCCAGGCCTTCCTGTCCTTCACTGCCTCCCTGAGTTTGGTCAGTTTCATGCTCATTGCTTCAGTGATGCTATCTAACCATCTCATCCTCTG